GTACTATATAATTATAATATAATTATACATACATACATACATATACATACTTACATACATACATACATACATACATACATATATACATACATACATACATACATATATATATATATATATATATATATATATATATATATATATATATATATATATATATATATATATATATATATATATATGTATATATATATATATATATATATATATATATATATATATATATATATATATATATATATATATATATATATATATATATATATATATATATATATATATATATATATATATATATATATATATATATATATATATATATATATATATATATATATATATATATATATATATATATATATATATATATATATATATATATATATATATATATATATATATATTTATTAATTTCAATGAATTCATAGCAGCTTACATATTAAAACTATTATCAACCGGCTTAAAATGGTATCAATGCCACTTATGGTGAAGTAGCCTAAAAACAACAACAAGCAATTCACTGTAAAACCCAACAATCAACTTTATCAAATGAAATGAGTGTAATAACTGAAAATGTACTGAAAGTTAATTCTGCTCATTTGAAAAGAGTTTTGAACTCCGTGTAGAAGGTAATGAGTTGATTAAATACCTTATAACTTCAACTTACATGGAGTAATTTCGCTATACTTATATAGATTCGTTTTTTACCTCAAATGCTTTGTAGCAATCGGTTTCCTCAAACGGTTTGAGTTGCCTTAACTTATTGAGTTTTACAGTACTCAGCTGGTTTGAGTTCTCTTCATTTAATGGAGTTAACTTGTTAACAAAGGTTCGGCAATGGAACCACGCCTCACTTTGTCTCATTAATGAATCACTTACTCCCTAAAACTTATTTAAGGTAGAACACTAGGTAGGCCCTCTAGCAGGCCCGGATTGGCTAATCGGGAGTACCGGGAGAATTGCCGGTGGGCCGGTCCGTTTTTTGGCCGCGAGGGCCGGTGTCCCTAGCTCCAGAATCTGTTGTTCTCAGCATTCATACTTTTTAAATTAATTAATTTATTTACTTGACCACAGTCTTCTTATTCATTATTTTACCGCAGCTCTGCTCTTTTTATAAATAACCAGCCTGCAGGGTAATGGTGTTATAACTCAGATGAGTCACAACACAATATACAACTGTTGTGGTCCAGTGGTTAGCACGTTGGATTACGACACTGCTGTCCCGGGTTTGATGCTCATCTGTGTATGTAATTTTTTTTTTTATTGTTACGACATATTGTTAGGGTTGTTGAACATTTGAAGTTCTAAAGCAGCTGTTCTCTTAAAAAAAGACGTGGTAGTGTCATTAGAAACTGAATTGGAATTGACCTTATTTTAATGTAGTCAGTCGTGAACTGAGGTGGGCCGGTCTGAGGCTTGAAACTCCAGGGCTGAAAAGGAGTCCCACTCCGGCCCTGCCCTCTAGCACTGTTCGTCTCGTTCTTTCAAACTCACCCTCACTCTCTCTATTTCCTCGCTTCCCATTCTCAATAACCCTCTCTACAGTTATGTTGAATCGAGGAGTCTAATCACTCTAACAAAGAATATTACAGAGACGGTACCCCCACCCTGAGTCTCTGGGCATCATTGTAGGACGCCTGATCTACCTACCTACCTGTTCACTGTTTATCCTCTTATTTCCCTTCCCCTTCATCCCACTGTTCTCTCACCATCCCCTTCATCCCTACAATAATGTCTAGCTCAAAGTGTGGCGTGGTCCATGCTGGTGAACTGGATTTTAATGTGCTCAAATTGCTTCCTTTACCTCAAATGGATTAAGTTCACAATACTCATTAGGATTAATTTTTGACCTTAAATGATTTGCAATCAGTTTACTCAAATGTTAGAGTTACCTTATCTTTTTTAGTTTTGCAGTGTAGCAATGTGAATATGAGTAAAGAAACTAAAAATCCTGGACATAAATTTATTTAAAAGTGCAGTAGTATGAGCTAAAATAATGTACATTTTCACAGTTTTATATTATCTAAATCTTGAGAATTTTTCTAAATCAATACAATAAGCCATTAATAAACATGCAATGCTCAACACTGTATATTATTCTACAATAAACCAGTATTTGTGTTTCATTTATTTGATTAAGTAAAATCTCATGTTCTATAAGCTGCAACTTTCAGCTTTAAAATTAAATTTTACCAAAGACAAAAAGTAAAACAATAGTCATAACGATGAGGAAGATCACTCCAATGGCGCACCCCACCCCAATCCAGCAATTTCTATTTGGGCAATCACTGGTTTCACTCTGCACTGAATGAGGCATTTCTATGTAGTGAGATTCAGGTTGATTTCTGCGTTCACTGAGAAATTCAGCACGCCTCATCTCTTTTATGGTCTTCATGAGTTCAGGGCTTATTTGGCGTGTGCAATTGGGGTCAAAGTTCTTCTGATCTGAGTGTCGAGTCACGTAAACGCTGTCAAACTTCTTCCATCTCCAGTTATAAGAAACAATAATGCGATCACAGTTGCTGTCATCTAAATACCCAGTGTAATTCTCTATGACATAATAGGGCAGGGATCCAGGGTTGTGCAGGTTGCCCACCTCGTAGTATGGTAGATTAATGGGTGGGAGTAGTTTAGGTCTATCCCTGTTGTAGAATCGATGAAAACCAAAACATCCATTTTCAGGGTAGCACAGAGCAGTCATTTGTTGATTGGAGTCAATCCGGACACATTCCTGAGCAAACCACCACAGCAAGTTCAGTCCGTGTCTGGGAGGCGGCCGACCAAACCCGGACTCTTTCAGATCGGATAAACTATTCAATGTTTCCATGTTCCCTCCCTCAAAAAAAGAAAATATAAGCAGGCAGATTTTTGTAAGCAGGAGCACAACAGTGCTGTCAAGATTTTATTTTTGCAGCGAGTTGAGTTTTTAAAGTGTTTCTAAAATATGAAAAAAGAAGTATAACTCATGATTAACATCTTGTATTCTTAAAGTCAATCATTCATTCATTCATTCATTCATTTGAACCTGTTTCAGTCTGTTTTAGTGGGCTAAGATAGAGCGCAGTATAGTTTCATTTCCCTTTAAACACACACACACACACACATTCAAGTTTACAATTGTTTATTTGTACCAGTCAAAGGATCACGGAAAATGCTTTCCACATACTATACGTGATATCTGTTTTAGCATGGAGTTTAATAATGCTAAATAAACAGCGAGCAGCATTTAAAATAATGTGCAGAAACACATGAGACAGAGAGGATACTGTACCTGCTTCATGCGCTGAGGTGATTTGCGTCTCTGTATCTCTCAAGCTTCTGTTATCACTCTTTTTGTAGGCGGTGCAAAAATGTCAAGATAGTTATTTTATAGGTTTTGGACGACCAGTTGAATGGCTAAAACAAAGCTAACAAACTAAAGAGACTTACGGTACACTCTCAGAAATAAAGGTACGTGAGCTGTCACTGAGGTGGTACCTTTTCAAAAGGTGCACATTTGTACTTAAAGGGTCCATATTGGTACCTCAAAAGTATATATTAGCACCTATAAATTTTAAGAGGAACACTTCTGTACTATTTAGGTACTACTATGTACCCTTGATGTTTTAATGTAGAGCTTTTAGGTACAAATGTGTACCTTTTGAAAAGGTACAGTGACAGCTCTCGTACCTTTATTTCTGAGGTTGTGTTTAAGAAAACATTTAAAGCTTTGTCAAGCAAATTTAGGCTATACATAACATCACCTATAACTGGCACACTGTTTTACAGTAAAGTACATTCCTGTAATAGTCTGTATGTTCATTATGTTTGATCTGTTCTGTATCAGATCAAAGTTAAAGGTGTCATATAATAAAAATCTGGAATAATAGCTGAATAATAAAAGTTAAGTGCATGGTAATGCGTATTCTCCTGACCCTACACACCATTGTCTCGTCTGAATATTGTGGAGTGTAAAAAGCAGGTTAATTGGAACAAAACATTTGATTTAACATATAGGATCATTCATTTGCATGCTAACAGCAGTGTTTGATTGGTCATAACATTGCCTATAGCCTGTAGTAATATAAGCCTACAACAATTTTCCTTCATCCCCCATCCCTACTTATTTTCTAAGTATAACACAGTTTATTATATTTGCTATTTATGTGGGGCTCTTATTTTGGAAACAATAGGCTTCAAAGTCCGTGTGAACTGGAGGTTGCTCGGACTTTTATTTCAGTATGTTGAACAGAAACTGAAACAGGACCGAAATAAATAGCCGTGATATGATGGATGTTAAACTAAACTGGCCTAAGTGTGTGTGTGTGTGTGAATGGGGGAGTGTATGGGTGTTTCCCAGTATTGGATTGCGGCTGGAAGGGCATCTGGTGTGTAAAACATATGCTGGAATAGTTGGCGGTTCATTCCGCTGTGGCAGCCTCGGATATACAAGGGACTAAGCCAAAGGAAAATGTATGAATGATGAATATCACGTTATTGTAAATTAAAGAGTTATCATTAGGTTACTGCGCTTTACCCTGCTTGTTATGTTGACTTCTCTTTTCCCCTTTTTTTTTTTTTTTTTTGATAATTAATTGAGCGGCTACAAATTTTGTCTGAAATGCAAATAGGCTTGAGTAAATGTATCCTGTTTATGTACTTAATTTTGCACAGCATCTTTAACCCCTTATAGTAAATGAATTTATCGATTATAATAAACCGAATTAGACTAAATATAAAGGAAATTTTACAAACAAAAAATCCAATTTGATTATGCTTATTTGCTTCACAAATATTCTAGGCCAGGCAAATGCTATTTACATAGCCTAGCCTTAAACATTGTTAAGCGTCACAGTCTTTACCATTATGTCATGTATAACAATGCAAATCTAGTAAAACTAGTTGTCCTACAGGTGTTTCTGAAGCTCAAGATCATGTTTGAGGAAAGAAAAAGTGGGCTTGTCCATATGGATCAATATTTTTTATTTTGTTGCTTCAACCAAAATACAAACTGAAATGTGCCATCTGAGTGTCGACAGTGAAGTAAAAAAAAAAGATTGACAGGGATTATACCTGCTTTGACCAAAGAGTCAACACTTAAGCAGGCTGTCCATGACTCATATCAGACACATGGAAGTATAATTAGGCTCAGAAAGACCCAATAAAATGAGCAAAACATCCAAACCAATAAGCTGAAAAGCAAACCAAGCTGAAAGTTACAACCCACATCAACACTGGATATAATAACTAGCAAAAAAACATATGAACTAGCAGCCACTGAACAAAATGAAGGACAAACAAACAATAAACACCATTCATTCATTATTTTTCAGGGGTTGCCACAGCAGAATGAACCGCCAACTACTCCAGCATATGTTTTATGCAGCAGATGCCTTCCAGTCCCAACCCATTACTGGGAAACACACATACACTCTGGCATTTACACACACACTCATACACCATGAACAAATTTAGTTTACCCATGCCATGGGGAGAACATACAAAGTCCACACAGAAATGCCAACTGACCCAGCCAGGACTCGAACCAGCGACCTTCTTGCTGTGAGACGACAGTGCTACCCACTGAGCCGCCGTGCCACCCCAAATTCTGACTCTATTATATCATTTAATAATTACACATCATAACATTTATCAACATGGGATGAGAATTTAATCCATAATACATTGAACAAAATAGTATAGTACTTTTATTTTTATTATAGTCTCCCAGTTACCTTCCCCATTCTTAAGCAGTAAAAACATCTATTGATTAACATTAACATCTTATATTAGATACACACAGTAATAATAATTTTTAGTTTATAATAAAAACAGTACAATTAATCACTGACAAACCCTTAAATCCAGATAAGCCCAACTAAAGCAACCCAGCAGACACACAACATCATAGGATGTTAATATTAGGCTAGATTTAGGTCGCCAGCATCTAAGGCGAAGCTATTTTAAGATCTAATAATGACGTAAAATGATTTTTTTATTTGGTTGATTATAGGTTGTGTTGTGACCAAAATTCAACATCAAGCTAACATCTTAAACCAACGTCATATTGACATCAAATACTGACATTTATTCATCAGGTATGGCAAACAAAATTCAACATCTAATAGACGTCATAGTGGTAACATCCACGCAATATCAAGCTGTAACATCATTAGATGTCAATATTTAGTTGTTTTTAGGTTGCGTTAGTAACCAAAATGCAACATCTGTCCGACGTTGGACATTGATGCAGGCCTGACATTGGGTTCTGACGTCAACCTGATTTTCATTTCCAAACAAAATGCTACGTCCCACTATGTCGGGGTACAACATCAGACATCATGTTGACGTCCTGTGCCTGCTGGGAAGTTGCAATAGACAACATTTTAAAAAAATTAAACAAATAAAGCTAAAATAAAAATAGAATTTGAAAGAAAAGAAAATGCAAAGAAATTGAAGCAGAAAATTTCATAATAAAAACAAGATAAAAACAAGATGGGCAAAGATGGGTAAGAATGCCATACACAGTAGCATGTGGCAACATGTTGCACGAACATCTTTAAAAAAAGTGTTTTAAAATAAGGTGAAAAAGATTAAACTAAACATCTTGTCTGCATTCATTTCATTCATTTTCCTTTAGCTTAGTCCTTTATTTGTCAGGGGTCTCCACAGTGGAATGAACCGCCAACATCTTGTTTAATAAAAGCATATTAAATTATTCAAACCCTTTGGTTCAAATATGCTCCCATTTGTACAAATAAAACAAGGTGCAACATGCAGCTTCAGAATGGCATGCAACTAACGTGAAACCAACTTCATTATCAAAAAATATATAAAAAATAAAAAAATGAACAGTATACACAACAGTATTTTTTTGCAACATCCTACACAACAATCAATGATAGGGTGATGTGATTTTTTCTGTATCCGATGAGGTTCACCCTCCTCTGACTGAACTGGAGAAGGAAACTCTGAGCGTCTGCTGTAAGGTTGATAATAAAAACTGTCCATCTGAGTTTTTCTGAGGAATGTTTTCAGGCTTAGACTTTGAATCTCCTTCATGAGATCAGTGCTAATGTGGTAGGTGCGATTCTGATCAAAGTTTGACGGGTTTGAGTGCTGTGTCACATAAATTCTTTCAAATCTGGGTTGATTGAACTGATATTTTAATGAGACAATGATGCGGTCGGTGTTGCTGTCATCCAAATATCCTGTGTAATCTTCAGTGAGATATTCAGGCAGTAAGTCTGTGTTGTGCAGGTTGCCCACCTCATAGTATGGTAAATTAATGTCAGGAAGAAGTTTATCCCAGTTTTGGAAATGACGAAAGCCAAAATCTCCATTTTTAGGATTGCACAGTGCAGTCATACGCTGATTAGAGTCAATCCGAACACATTCCTGAGCAAACCACCACAGCAGCTTCAGTCCGTGTCTGGGATGCGGCTGACCAAACCTGGACTCTTTCAGATCAGATAAATTATACAGTGATCTCACCATTTTCACCACAGTTCTGTTGAACAATCATGGAGAGAATAGGTGGTTAGTGCATATGCACTGCAAACAAATGCAGATATTTTCTATTACAATTATAGGCAAACTACAAAATACAAAACAACACAGCAGCTTTAAATTAATTTACTGTAAATCAGCTCATTTCCTCAATGGAGTAAATGTGCACAGACTTTTTATTTTCATTCAGTAAGCCCAAGGGCTTCCAGTAAATTGTCTTGCTATTGCAAAATTGTTATATTAAATTAAAAATCTGTAATCTTCACTGCCTCAATAATATACAATATAAAGTGGGTCTCAGACTGGATAAGAAGAAGTGGATTAAATTCCCTTATTCACCGCCATGTCATTAAAATATGAACATTTATTTCATCCCAGTATTTTCAATGGAGTTTCTGCACTAGCCTGCTGGTCCTGACGGTGCTGATGTTTGCAAGGTCTTTCATCTTGTTTTACACTTGAACAACTAAATGAATGCTTAAGTTTATTTAACTGATTGCATTTTAATTGCATTACCACATCGAGACTGTAAAAGGAACCTTATGAAATTGAAAATAGTCACATTAACCTTTATTCTCTCAGCAGAATAATAATAGTCTCTGCAGAATAAAGTCTGTAGGGTGCTAGACTGACCATTTGTCGAAATTGGTCACTCAAACAGAGATATAGCAGAAAGACTGATCCTCTAAACCGCTTTTGAAGGACGTCAAGATCAACTGTGACTGTAATTGCTAATTTTCTAATTCATAAAATAAACGAATTACATAAATAAATAAAGTCTCTCACACAATCCAGTACTCTTACCTTGTCTCATATCCAACAGTAACACTTCTTTGTATGTCGAAACTTCTACAAGGACTTCTAGAGTGTGGTTGGGGACACTGCTATATAAGACCTAGTTTGTTTTCAAGGTTATAAATCAATAAAATATGTATATCAAATGTAAAATGACTCCACCTCACCCTGCAGCAGCAATGGAAATGTTCAGACTCTGATAATGGATTTTATGAGTGGACCTTCAAACTGATATTGCTCCACGTCATGCAGATTTCTGCATGATGAATATAACAAAAAAACAACTTTTATTAATTTCATATAATATTACAACAGAACTGGCACATAAATGAAATCTTAATTTAATTCAACTTCTTACACCTAAATGAATGACATTTTTCAACTTAATTTATCACAATTTTTGGTCCTACTTTATAAGTGGCCTTAAATATTAGCCTATATACTTACACCGAAATGAATCATCTGTTACAATGTACTTATAGTGTAAATGCATGTATTTACATTGTACTTATGCTTGATTAAATTACATGTATGTAATTACAGATGTAATTAATTTCTGTAATTTCATTTGTTAATGCACTGTTGACCATCCCTTACACCTTAACCCCCTGTTAAACCAACCCAACCTGCCCATAAACATACCCATATCCCAACTCAAGAGCACCACATGTTCTCAAATACATTATGAACACAGTAAGTACATTGTATTAATTTTTTGATGCAAGTAGTAGTTATGGACACTTAATATAAAGTGGGACCCAATTGACTTGAGTGTAATAAGATGAAATAATTTGTAAAATGAATGAATGAATGAATGATTTAATGAATGAATGAATGAATGAATGAATGAATGAATGAATGAATGAATGAATTAATTAATGAATGAATGAATGAATGAATGAATGAACGAATTAATTAATTAATTAATTAATTAATTAATTAATTAATTAATTCATTAATTCATTCATTCATTCATTTATTCATTTATTCATTTATTCATTCATTCATTCATTCATTCATTCATTCATTTATTCATTCATTCATTCAGTCATTCATTCATTTATTCATTTATTCATTCATTCATTCATTCAGTCATTCATTCATTCATTCATTCATTTATTCATTAATTCATTCATTTATTCATTTATTCATTCATTCATTCATTCATTTATTCATTCATTCATTCATTCATTCATTTACTAATTCATTCATTGATTCATTCATTTATTCATTCATTCATTCATTCATTTATTCATTCATTCATTCATTCATTCATTAAATACTTTAACCAGAGGAAGTTATCTTAATTATATATAATTTCATTTCATTCACTAACTCAACCGTAGACATTGATTCATACACCTCTGCACATCAAAATTAAATATTAGGGATTTGATGACATTGCAGCTGTCAGTAAAAGTGTATAATTCTCAGCTCCAATGAAATCTCAGAGATGAACTTCAGAACATCACTTAATATTGAAGTTTTACTTAATATTGAACGATTTCAGCACTGATAAGATGATGAGACTGATCCTCCATTTTTAAGAGTTAATCTCTTGACAACTCAATCTTGCTGTAAAAGTGAAAAATAAAAAAAAAATTCAGATTTTATTTGCACGTCAGATGTTATGGAGATTTTAATAACATATATTTGTTTTGTTTGAAAAACATATTCATATTAACATCTTCCAGAGTGCCTTGTGCCACTGCATGCAACTAGTCTGTTCTCCCAAACAGATTTAAAAAAAAATAATAATAACACAAAATGACTACAGAAGCAATGGGAGGATGTACACATTGACAAGGCTTGGGTGGAGCTGCAAACTGATATTGTTCCTGCATGTCAGATATCTGCATATCTAGCAGAAACCTTATAAACTAAGTATATAACCCATAACAAACATAGTATTGTTTTGTAATTGGGGTCAAGTGGCAGTTAAGTGTATGTAATATAATACAAACATAAATTGTTTAGAGAAACAGCCATTCCTGCTCAGGCTAACTGGTTATTCAGGTCTAATTGGTTTACTCATGGCATCTTTTTTCGATGACTGTGCTTTAGATTATGGCAGCCACTTCTACTTTCAATTAAAGTAATAGGTTGGACTACAAAATCCTCATCTGCAAGCTACTCGAATGCTGTGAATATGATTATGAATTTGATTTTACACTTTTTAATCCAATGGTTCAGTTTGACCCAACGTTGGGTCACAACCCAGCCTCTTTTAAAGTGTACTGAAGGCATAGATTCATTTACAAAACACTAATGCTGTGAATATGATTGTCAATCAGTTCTTGTTTCAGCTTGTGTATATGTGTGTTTGTGTCTATTAAATATGTCATAATAAAGATTTATCTGATATCAGTTTACATATAGACTTTAAAAGATGCTGGGTTGTCGTAATCCAACACTTGGTCAAATATGGACAAACCCAATGTTGGGTTAATTTTTTTTTTCAATGAAATTCAAATTATGCTTTTTAACATAATGGTTGAGTTTGTCCACATTTGACCCAACATTGAGTCACATTAACCCAGCCTCTTTTCTTTTTAGCGCATAGGTCTCAAACTGGATTCCTGGAGGGCCGCAGCTCTGCACAGTTTTGCTCCAACCCTAATCAAACACAGCTGATCCAAATAATCAAGGTGTTCATGACTACTAGAGACGATTAAGCAGGTGTGTGTTGGAGGTGGTTGGAGCTAAACTGTGCAGAGCTGCGGCGCTCCAGGAGTTAAAGACCACTGTTTTAGAGTGTACTGAAAGCAACTTTAGATTAATTTACAAAACATGAATGATACAAACTTGAAAGTGAGTTTTAATTTTTTTTTTTAATTTCAAACCAAGCCACATCACCACACAACAGGAAAGAAATGAAAACCAGGAAATGAAATTAATCACTTGTGTGCTCTATCCTCTAATAATTCAGCAGACTGAATTATTCACCAAAACCCGGAACTATAGGCTATATATAATGGCACGTCTTTGAATGTTTACCAGCCATTCAGAATCAAGCATTCATCAACCCCGTAGCATAATACAGATAATTAAATATAAGGCCTGTGATAAAACTGATGATAATAATCAGATGAATGTGAGCAGATTAATATCAGCACAGCAGCTCTTCATGCTTAAAGAATGGTACACCAGGAGCTATCTTCTGCTGGCGGAGGAGGACGAGGAGAAGGAGTGTGATTTACTGGAGTGCTGTAGGACTGATAAACAGAATGTTGTTGATAGTAAAATGGCTGCTGGTTGTTGGTACGATTGCCAGTATTGGAGACCTTGGAGAGAAAATCCTCCCTGCTCATGTTTTTGATGATCAGCAGGAGGCCATTGCTCACACGGTAGGTTTTGCTGCTGTCAAAATGTCTCTGGTCGCTGTGTTCAGTCACATAAACCCTGTTCAGTTTACCATTGCCGTCCTGATGCACAATAATGCGGTCCTTGTTACTGTCAGGGTTATAGTGGCTGTATTTTTGCCTGACGTAATTTGGGAGCTTGTCTGCATTTGAGTAATTCAGGTTTCCCACTTCATAGTATGGGAGATTTTGAATGGGCACGATGTGATCTTCATCTTCAATTCTGTTATTAAACTTGTGGAAGCCAAACTCTCCAAACACCGGATTGAATTTGGGTTTAATTTCCCCAAAATCGAACAATATATATTCACGAGCAAACCAGTAGAGCAGATTGAGGCCATGTCTGGGCTCTGGCTGACCGAAGCCTGACTGTTTGAGCTGGGAGAGTTCATTCAGTGTGCCTTTCACCATGATGGAGGATCACTGTGAGGGAGAGAAAGAGGAAATATATATTTTAAAGAATATTGTGAACTCTAAAATAAAAAAAAAATGCTGGTTTGTTGTAACCAAACATTGTCAACAAATATGGATAGATCAAACCATTGGGTTAAAACGTGCAATTTCAATTTAATTGAAAAGAATTAACCCAATTTTAGTGCTGGACACGTATAAAAAATAAGTATAAAATAAGTATGGTATAAAAAGTTTGTTTTGCAATTTAAGTGCGTATACTGTGTTTATTCATTATGTATATGCAAATACACAAAAACATATATATATATATATTTGAGAATGTTTTTATTTATATTTTGGTATATATAATATATGTGTATATGATACCATGACATATAAATTTAATAATATATGTTTTATTGTATATTTGTGCTTCTATGTAAGTGTGTGAGTCTTATATATATTATAATATATGCATATATTATGTCAAGAACAAACTTTTATTTTGGATGGGATGGGCGTTTAATTGGTCTCAGATCGCACAAGAAGCACTGCAATAACATTAATTATGTCTTTAAAATATGATAATTTATTTTACCCCAGTATTTTCAATGGAATTTCTGTGCTAGCCCTGTTGCTCCTTATGGTGCAAGCGATTACAACAGTCTTTCATTTTGTTTTACGCTTAAACAACTAGTCTATTTAACTGAATGGATTGTAATTACATTACAACATCGATGCTGTAAAAACAACCTTGTGAAATTGAAAATAGTCACATTTAGCTTTCATCGGAGGTTAATGGTTGGTTTTAAAAGTCTAGCTGTGCATAGAGCCCATTAATCTTGTCCAAGCAGTAATAATTTATTATTCTTTGAATGTAATATTTACATTTAAAGTTGAAGGAATGTAAGCCATTTTTATTAGTTATGGTGACTATTGGGCTTGACCCTTTATTTGTTTTTTCATATTTTTGCAATATAATTCAATACAAACTACAGTAGTTGGGGGGAAAAAAGTTCAGCTTCCCTAATCAGAATTTATCATTAAATCATCAAAGAAAAAAAAAAACAGATTCCTTAAGAAATTTTGTTTTTAACAAAACAATAGTTTAAACTTCCATTGTTCTCTTGAAATCACATTAATAATTTGTTGTAAATATGAATAATTATTTTATGAAATACAGGATGTGAAATATTTTCATTAAAGGAGAGTGAAAAGAAAGTCAGAGTAGTTATAGTATTATAATTCGATTTCTCAAATAGTAAATGCCCCTATAGCTGTGTGGAGGAAAAACATGCTATAAAGCAACATAAGCTCACTCTGTGATTATTAAACACACAAAAGTTGTACCTTACAGATGAAGAGTGCTCCTCCGAGTGTTTTTGCAGTGATGATCTGTAGAGAACTGAGGTCACTGTCACTGAGCAGCAGTATTTTTTTAATCATCTTTTTACAACACACCCACTTCAACAAAGAAAAAAAAATGCATGGCTGGGAAATAGAAACTTAAGCAGTTTGGAGGGGAGGCGATTTCTAGGAGGTTATTGTGTCTTTATGAATATGAAAAAAGTAAAAAATGACATATCTCTCTATTTTGGAGATATTATTTATAATATATCCCCTGACAGAAATGAGAGTGAAAATTACAATTAACAATAGCATGTTTATGGTATTTAAAAAAATAGCTCTGTTGTGTTTTGAGTTACTGTAAATGTATTTTTGATACACTAAAAAATATCCATAAATGAGTATTTTGAGATTTACGTTCTTGACAGATCAAGAAGTAGATCACATTAGGAGTTAAACCAGATGCCATCCTTCAAGCTAATGAGTGCTCACGAGCTTGAGGAGAGGCTAATTACCATTCCAGAGAATACTTTGTTACCCCAGAAGACATGCATAATATCCAAACTGCTATGCTTTGAGGAAAACACCTTCATAAAAATGACTGCAGGAGTACAGACAAACTATTAACCGGTCCTTCAAGAGATGATGTCATAATTGATCAGCCTCTGAGGAAGGTTCATTCATTCCTTCACTTTCTTTTCGGCTTAGTCCCTTTATTAATCTGAAGTCGCCACAGCGGAATGAACCGCCAACTTATCCAGCATATTTTACGCAACTGCAACCCATTACTAGGAAACATCCATATACACTCATACATCATGGACAATTTTAGCTCACCCAATTCACATATACCGCATGTCTTTGGACTTGTGAGGAAAATCAGAGCACCCGGAGAAAACCCACGCAAACATGCGGAGAACATGCAAACTCCACACAGAAAAGCCAACTGAGCCAGGTACGACTCGTGAGGTGAGGTCGCTGGTTTGAGTCTCAGCTGGGTCAGTTTGCATTTCTGTGTGGAGTTTGCATGTTCTCCCCATGTTGGCATGGGGTTTCCTTCAAGTGCTCCGATTTCCCTTACACTCCGAAGACATGCGCTATAGGTGAATTGAATAAGTGTTTCCCAGTACTGGGTAGCAACTGAAAGGGCATCCACTGGGTAAAACATATGCCAAAATAGTTGGCAGTTCATTTTGTCTTTGTTTGTTAATTATTCTGCACGTTTTACACAGAGGATGCTCTTCCAGCTGCAACCCAGTACTGGGAAACATCCATTCACTCCCAATCAAACACATACACTACGGACAATTTAGCTTATTCACCTACAGCACATGTGTTTGGACAGTGCGGGAAAACTGGACGCAGCTGAGGCTTGAACCAGTGACCCTCTTGCTGTAAGGTGACAGCGCTACCCACTGCGCCACCCTCTCTCTCTCTCTATTTATTTTTTTAACACTTGTGCATGGCATCATTTTCATATCATTCATTTGTTTGTGTGAGGAAAACTCACATAGTGCCATCATTAATTTTAGATTTAATGCTTGTACACTGCACTTACACTCATGTTTGTTCATTGCCGAAGGCTGACTTTGACAGAGTGGCTACAATGTTTGTCAATGACTTTTCTCATTGTCAAGAGTTTTGCAAGTACTTCCAGAAGTAGATGGGCTGATTGTGGATGTTATAACAATGTGAATTCAGAGACCAACACTTTGATTAAAAGGTGCATTTTTCTTTTCTACCGGTCAAAATTGTGGGGTCAGTAGGATTTGTAATTGTTTTAAAATAAGCTTCTCCTGCTCACCAAGGCTGCATTTATTTATTCAAAAATACAGTACGAATTGTAAAATTGTGAAATGTTATTGCACCTTAAAATAACTGTTCAAAAGTTTTTCAGTTTTTTTATAATCAGTTAAACTCTGCTGTTATTTTGGGATTTCCGTCTGGATTTTGCCAACCCAAATTTAAAAGCTTCCCAAATCCACATGCAGAGGTGTAAATGCAAAACTTTGGTTTCATTTTAAAGAAAACGCTTTGAGTTTTCATAAAACACTATTGAAAGTGTTTAAATCAACTATATATGTTGTCTGTGTTATAATAAACCCCTAAAAAAGAGGCGCTTCTTGTATTTTTTTTATAAACTCAAATTTGAAGGTGTACCTTTTAGGTTCTGTGTGGTCTAGCGTGCTGTAATTAATTTTGGTGGTTCCTGCACATGTCTGTAATCATAGGAAAAAAGAAAAATGTCTCCACCATAATGTATGCAAAAAATTATTGTATTCCAACTGAAGAGAGGTGCTGTACAAGCCACATGGACTGATCATTGTTTTCATATTTCACTATTTATTGCTCATTGGGAATCCGACTGGGGGGGTTTGGGAGTCTCTCTATCATTGCAAAGAGTGTTCCAGCAAGCAATAGCCGTCATTTCACCGGCTAGGTGAAGTAAAGATCAGATCTAGCCTGGCTACGTGTAACCCAATTTTAGCCCGAATAACCTTAAATTTGGTTGTATGTTGTTGTTTTGCTAAATAAAGCTTATGATATGTATGATACTCCATTATGTAAGAGAAGTCAATAACGTTTATGATGTACCTGCAAGTAATAAACGTAGCTTTAGTTTCTCGGTGAAGTATATAGACCCAATCTAGCCCGGCTATGTGTAACCCATCTCTAGCCCAAAAAATTTGCTTACCTGTCTTTTTTTGGCAAAATATCTTGTCATATGTCTGATATTCCGCGAGGCAGTGGCGCAGTAGGTAGTGCTGTCGCCTCACAGCAAGAAGGTTGCTGGTTCAAACCTCGGCATGGTTGGCGTTTCTGTGTGGAGTTTGTATGTTCTCCCTGCCTTCGCGTGGGTTTCCTCTGGGTGCTCCGGTTTCCCCCACAGTCCAAAGACCTGCGGTACAGGTAAACTGGGTAGGCTAAATTGTCCGTAGTGAAAGAGTGTGTGTGTGAATGTGTGTGTGTGTGGATGTTTCCCAGAGATGGGTTGCGGCTGGAGGAGCATCCGCTGCGTAAAAACTTGCTGGATAAGTTGGCGGTTCATTCCGCTGTGGCGACCCCAGATTAATAAAGGGACTAAGCCGACAAGAAAATTAATGAATGTCTGATATTCCTTCAAGTAAAGAAAGTCAATCGCATATAAGGTGTTTGGGCTTTTAAAAAATATATGTTGTTTTCATAGTCTGAGCGTAGCCTTGAATTAGCCCGTCATCCGGCTGGATATTTATAGCCCACTGATAGCCTAAACTGATTCACTGTAGTAAGAGCATTATTGGGGTTGCTGTTTATAAGGCCTAGCAGATTTCAGTTCCACATCAAAAGCATGAAGACTGTCTTTATATATCTTATAATGGACTACTAGTTACGTCTTTCTCCACATTCGCTCAGCTTGTCTGCATTGTCTTTTCATCATTTGGACTGCTCTTAAGTTTCTCCAAGGGGCTCTCTCTTTGCCAGTTCTCTTCCTGAGTTTAGAAGGAGCGTCATCTATGACAATCTTAACTTTAGAGTTAAACAAATCAAGGAGCGAATCAACAGAATCTGCAGATATACTTGGTGCTAGCGATGTGGCCTTCATAAACTGCTCACTAGTGTTCTCATTTATGCATTTCTTTCTGACAGAGACAGATCTGTTTTTAATAGCTGGAGTGATCAACTGAAGTGCAAACTGACTGAGCAGAGGCATAAAACCAGTGACCTCCTTGCTGTGAGGCGATCGTGCTACCCACTGCGCCACCATGATGCCCCGCTTTATTATTATTATTATTATTAGTAGTAGTAGTAGTATTAATGGTAATAGTAAAAAAAAAGCAATAATGACTGAAGTAGTAATTTCATTTGAAACTACATACCATAAGAAAGCAGCTATTTACATTTTTAATAAATATGTAGTGATTTTGTTTAAATTGTTCGTTAACTTTAATTAGTTTTTATAAATAAATATATATATATATATATATATATATATATATATATATATATATATATATATATAT